ATAATGTCAAATTGAAATGATTGCACAAAAATGTAAAAAAAAAAAAATGCACAGAAACAAAAATAAAACCTTACACAAGCTATTTAGTTTATCAGCCAAAAAAGTTGATTTGGGGGTAAGTTTCACTTCAAAGCTGCAGTATGTAATTTTTATAAAAATGTTTTGTTAAAACTGTCACCATGTCAGGACAGTTTGTTATGAGACAGATTATCTATCTGAAAAGATTGCTCTCCTCCACCTTCTCCCTGAGTCACTATTGCCATCTGAAGAAACGCAACACTCCAACCAGAAACAACCAATCAGAGTCAGGAGGAGGGTCTTAGCGCTGTCAATCACCCTTGTGAAACAACTTACTTTTCCAGAAAAACCACATGTCCACCATCATTGGTGGCTATGCTAACTAGCCTGAGCAGTCACAATAAGATCTGCTGATGGGGAAAAGACTGATCGACAGGGCTTTGTCTCGCCTCCTGGCTCTGATTGGTTGTTTCTAGTTAACCCTGGGAGGAGTAAGAGCAGCAGTGTATCCTAAACACATACATTTTCTCACAATTTATGTTTCAGACCATACTGCCATAACAGTGGCAATAGCAACAAAGGTGTCAAAAAATATTTTTCATACAAATTACATGCATATCAATATATTGAAATTCATGGTGGAATGTCAAAGTGTTAATTTATCAAGTTCATGAGATACAAAAGTAGCTCCCTAACACCCTGGAACTGAGCAAACATAAAAACACTTACATTCTGGGTAAGACCATCCAAGGTTTTGTGCAGCTCCCGTGCAAACTCCAGGTTATGGAGCACCTCGTCATACTTCTCTACAGCAACCTACAGTACACTCATCTGAATACATGGAAATAAGAACTTGCAATTTTTTCAATTTCCTATTTGCTTAGCAACTTGGTCTCACCATCTGATCTTTGTTGAGCACCTCTCCCAGGCTCAGCCTCTTCTGGTAGTCCTTCAGCTTCAGCTGAGGATAAATAAGATGCATGATGAACAGTGCAGGAGACCCCTTTCACCTACTACACAGCAAAGACACTTTACCTTCTTTTTCTCCAAGTTACGGACTTTGTGCTTCAGGCAGATGAGGCCATCTTCTATGTATGTTTCATAGCCATGGTAGGCTGTGGACATCTCCAGACTGACCAGAGGGCTGGTCAGCCCCTCTGGCAGGTTCTCCACCTTCGGGCTACTGATAGTATCCAGCTGCTCCCCCTGCCTGTCCTCCCCATCAGCAGAGTCCTGGGTCACAGCCAGGGTATGGGATGGAGACAGCTGCACCATGATGAGAACTCCTGGAAGAGGAGGAGGAACAGGGTAACAGAAGGAGGAATGAGGAGCTACTGGTCTCAACCCGGGCAGGCTGAGCGCAGTCTGGGCGGCTGCCAGAGCAGTGACGGTGCATTTACAGACACTACAGAACCGCAGAGAATAGGAGCTCAGAACCTAACAAAAGACACAGAAATGCGGTAAAAACTGTCTTTCTATCCAGCTGACTCTCCTGGCGGCTGGCTCAGATTCATGCCGTCAGAAAGAGGAAATTAGGTAATCGGTGAAGCAATTAAAACTCCATTTGGGACCAACTATGCTTGGCTGCTGTCAGCTTTCATGTGAACTTCTTTAGATATTCCACACATCAAGCGCGAGGTAAACTTTCTCCACATGCTTTGATCATAGCACGTCACAGTTTCCGGAGGAAGCTAGGCTAATTAAGAACATAAAACAAACAACCGCACCTCGCGCCTGTCCGCTCCGTCAGAGACGCCGCTTCAACTACACTCCCACAGGGATGTTTGGGAACACGGAGGTCATACCGTGTCGGCCCATACCTTTATATACTCTGCCAAAGGCGGCAGCATCCACCCGGAACACATCCGGTTCAGGCACCTGACTCTCTGGAAACTTCAAGTTGATTGTCCCCTTAAAGGTAACACGTTCATAATGGAAAGCACATTAAAAGCCCTGCTTTTGGGGAGCAAAACTCATAATCTGAAAAGTGAGATAGAAAGCACATTATTCCAATTCCAATTAAATGCACAAATTCTCACTACAATCGAGTGAGAATTGTAATGCAATGCAAATAAATGCGAATAAAGAGCACAAAAAGAGGATCAAAGATGGAAATTTAAAAGAGGAAGTGACCATATATCTCCAGGTTTACACTGAGCAACAAAAATAGTTCATCTCCCACAAGGAAGTATTTTACATTGTCTTACAAGAGACAATAATATATGCTTTGAACACTTTGTCATATTACAATCATAAAATGTTTTTTTTTTCTGATAGACTACGTTATCCCATAACTGTGAAATTAAAGACAATCATCAATTATTTTCAAAATCTTTTACAGATACAGATCTAAAGAAAGTCAATGTGTGGGTGCCCTTGAGTGAATTAGAATACAGATAGTAAAAGTAAAAATTGCTGCTAACATTAAATATGTGCTCAAGGCTCTTGTAGTGAATATATATTTATATAAAAGCTACTCTTTGACCCAGCCGTCTCTCTCCTTGGCAGAAGGTGGATCTTCATTTCAAGCTCAGGTCCTCTACCAGAGTCCTGGGAGCTTGAGGGATTTTTGCAGTATCCTAGCTATTCCTAGGAGTGAAATCTTTTGAAATATTGCAATAATTAATCTTTGATGATCGCACTGATGCTCGCCAGACCACTGCTCCTTCTGTGCGTTTTGTGTATAGCCTGTGGATAGTGGATTTGGAGTGGAATTCACCATGTGTGGTGAAAAGCTTTCATGTTTTAACCTTAGTGGTCTGAATTGCTTCCCTTGGTGAACTTTTAACCCCATTAGAGTTGCTGATTACCGGCAAAGCATAGCTGTTGATTGCCTGGACACTGAGCTGACTTATCAGAACTTGCTTTACTCATTTATTTAGCTGTTGCTGCCAAATAAATAGTTACTTGAATACTTGAGTAACCTTTCCACCAAATATTTTTAACTTTTTTTTTTACTCTTACTTGAGTACATTCTTGGATGGATACTTCTTGCTTTTACCTGATTAAAATATGTTGACGTAGTGCCTGTCTTAGTTTTTCACGTTTTTTGACTCCTTTACACCCCTCTGCTGGATATGTCATGCTTCATAGTTATGGCCGTCTTAATTCTTTCCTTGAGGTCTATTTTCATAGTGTTGCCATTCTTGAATTTTTATTTCCTTTATCTTTTTTTAATTATTATAATCTGCTGTTTTGGATTCAGTTATGGTCTTACCATAATTTGTTCAGTCCCTTCTATAAATAATTGTGCAAAAGGCCTTGCCATGTAGCTTGTCTATGCATTAACTTTCATAGTTTATTCTTGCATTTTGCTCACTGTACATTTCTACTTAGTTTTTTTTTTTTTTAGCCTAGTCCTCTAGTGTTTGCCTTTCTTGGTTTATTATGTCTTGTTCAGTTTCTCACTTTGGTTGCCTCATATTTTTATTGTATTCATGGACACCAGTATAACTTTGTGATATTACCTGCAATGTCTCATCATCCTCATGTGTTTCAACTGATCTGCCACTTAAGTTGTTGTTACCATACCATACCATACCATACCATACCAACTTTATTTATAAAGCACTTTAAAACAACCACAGCTGATACAAAGTGCTGTACATTAAAACACAACATAACAATTAAAAAATAAAAACATTCCATTCTGTGTCCCGTTTTCTTGTTCCTGAGTTTAGTCCTTCCTTGTGCAAGAAGAGCACACTAGTTCCAGGTTGAGTGTGAGCACGCATTCTCTCCTCCCCCATCAACATGCTCCCAGTAGATACAGTATATTGATGGGGAAACACAGACAGATGTAACGCGGTACAATACCGCAAAAGGTCCAGTTACGCCCTGAACATGGTAACATTCAGTGGGGTACTAAACCTCTTGCTCAGTTTTGCCATCCCATCTTCTGCATCTGCAGCAAGCCTTCCTGCACTTCAGGGCTGTTCAGATCCTAATGTGCAAAGGACAGTTTATTATTACACTGCCTGGCCAAAAAAAGTCGCAACCAAAATTAAAAGGTCACACATTGTACTATTTTGTGGACTGCCTTTAGCTGTGAATATGCATTGTTTTGATGAGCTTCTGCAATGTCACAAGATTTAGTTCCAATCAGTGGGTACAGATAGCTTCTGACTGAAAACAACAGATCATATTCGGAGAGATGTAAAACTAAAAATACCTTCTACAATTAGTGTTAAGAACAAGTATTATTCTTGCTGTAGAACCTTTGTCACTAAACTGTCAATGTTTGATGTTTTGAGGCATGAACAAAACATTTATTACTTTGTTAAACGCCTCAGTAAGTTCCACTATAAGGATTGTTCTTTTTTTTTTCTTTTTTGCCTTTTTAACAAAATATAAAATATTAAGGCACTTGGTAAGGCATACTTTATTAGCATAAAGTAGCATGTATGGAAACACTGAAAATTTTTCACTGAAATATAGTCTAATTTCACACCATTTACAAAGTACGTACAAATATTATTGAAATGTATTTAAGATTTATTGAGGTTTACTAAAATATACATAGAACCCATTTGTAAATATTACCAAAAGTACAACTTCACTAAAGTATTGTTTGTATATTTTTGTAATATATTTTTAAAATGTACACTTGTATATAAACATTTATACAAATACATGCAAAGTGCATTTTTAAAATGATTATCCGAAGTATAATGTTAGTTTTATATTCTATTAGAATTTAAAGTATATTTTAGAAAAAATATACTTTTAGAAATGTACTTTACATTTTTAGTATAATCTTAAGTATATCCACTTTAGTAAGTTATTAAACTTACTAAAAATGTACTATAGAAAAATACGGTATATTTAAAATATATTTAAGTATGCCATTTTTTTCACCCCAACAGACCGGACCCCAGTTGGCATAGCTGTAGTTCTACTGCAGCTAATGAGGATACCAAACACAAAACTAGACCATATTAATGTATATTAGACTCAACACAAAAACTACCACACCATGTTCAATTTTTAAGAGTGTAATTTTAATAGTGTGATTTCTTTTTTTTTTTTTTTGTAGCCCCTACCCCTACAAGGAGGTAGGGGCTTACATTTGGTCCACATTTCTTACCAGTTGGTGGTAGTAATGCCCCATTAATCAAGTAGATCAACCAGTCTCTTGAAGAGCATCACACTTAGCAATGAGGTCCACCCATACATTGGAACAGGGTCAACCACACCTCTCAAAGTTAATAAATGCTGTCATTCCAAGCTAAGACTCCTTGACAGAACCATTTAGCGAAGACAGGAGCTCTGAGAGGACTGAGAAAAGTTGAAAATACAGACCCTGATATATGACTGCATTGCAGAGGAAGAGGATAACTTGGAAACGACCCAATCACAGGTTGATTTTCTCCATACCAGTCCTAACGTATCAAAAACAAAAGCAGCAAGTGCAGATATTGATTGCCCAGTACACAAACAGACTGCTTAGTCGGACTTCATTTCTCAGCAAAAAACTTTACTCTCCTCCAGGTTTCAGTTACTTTGCTTTGCTGTATTTAACTGTGGAAAAAAAACATGAAATAAACCTTACTTCGTAATGTATCATATAGAAATAAAACCTTCATGCCAGCTTACCCTGTGGTGAAATACAAACAGCAGTGATACAGCTCCGAAGGCATATAAAGTTTAATTTTGAAGTCAGCGCTACACTTGAGAAAAAGAACAAAACTAGGTGTAGGTGAGCAGTCAGGATTTAAGTCAAATGTTCAGTACAACATGAGGTTGATAAAACACTCAGATGTGGCATTTCAAATTTACATTTGTCCCAAAAAAACAATGAGGTGCAATACTGGAAGTAAGACAGTAAGATATATTTATAACATCTAGAATGTGATACTTTATACATATTTTACTGTTTAATAGAATTATGAATAAAATGTAAATGAACAAATGGAATTCTCAGTGATCATCATAGCCTGGGAAAAACCATTGGCATCTGAGCTGCTGACAAACCATCTAGCGAGGATGTCTGATGGCATTTGCCCTCTTGTGTTTTTTCTCCCTGCGCAGAGGGACATGCTGATCTTTCCAGGTTCTAAACACTTTTCTCCTTGCATGGCTGACGACTTGCATTGACTGAACAGGAGCTGAAGATGACGGAAACATTGCAGGAGTGAAGCAATGATCCATCGCAGAGGAGGGAGACGGTGAAGCATGCATGATGCGTCTATGGGAGTTCCTGTGGGCTTCTACATGAGTTCTAGTGGGGATGGAGGCAGGTTTGTCAGGTTGCTCTCTAATCCCATCCCCCTCTGTAAATGAAGACTTTGCCATTGACATGGATTCACGTGGTCCTTGCCTGGGGTCTCTGGGTACCCTGACAAGTGTAGCCGGCTCACCAGTTTTAGATTCTTTAAAAATCATGCGATCAATTATGTATACGTTTTTAGTGACTTCTGCCTCTGATAAAAGTCTGGGATGGCTAAAGGCTGTTCTCTGTTTTTTCCTTTCAGGAACCAAAACATTTACACATGTATTTGAGAAGTCGTCACTGTCCTCTGCTTCCACTGAGATAACCTCTCTTGTCGGATCTTCACTGTCAGACTGTTGGCAACTCACTCTTGACCTACTGCTCTTTTGGTTCTTGTCCAATCTTGCTACTTCAGGAGTTGCTGTGTTCGAAGAACCTCTGCCACAGTCTACTGAAGTTGCAGTCGAAGCCATCTTTGCCATATTGTGATTTTCCCTACCTTCTTCATCTGAGTCAGACAAAATAATCACAACACTTTCATAATTTTGTTTAGAGTTCTCTGAAGGTTGAGACTGTTTCTTCATCTCTGACTCGCAGTGGTCATCTTCCGCATCCAAAGCCATGTTGTCAATTATACCATCATCTGGAGGCACTTGCACATCCTCCCTGTTTTCGGGGACGCAGTGGTCAGTCTTTCTTTGGGCAGATGATATGCTCTTGTATAGCTCCTTGGACACAGTCATATAGTTGCACTCAGGACCAGATGAATAAGAACAACTGTCCTCAGTGGGACAACTGTCCTCACCTTGTCCTGATGTTGACTCAGGGCTGCCACAGGGGAGTGCGACAAAGGAAACCTGACCACATCTAATGGCCTGTTCTTGATCGTCTGGCGTGTCAAAGATGGCCATCTTGGAAAATGCAGATGCTGGTACCGGCTTTGGAGCACAACTTTGTCTTGTACTTACACCATGCTGGTGTATTTGGTTTTCATGATCACCGTCATGTTGTATCACTTTTCCTAAAGCAGGCTCCTCTTCCACCGGTTCAGGGTTAAGGTCTGACATTATTACAGGTACCACTTCAAACTCAACATCACTCTCCTCATCAGACTCTTCAAATTCAAATTCCTCATAGAAGTGGTTTGTCTGCCCTCCAAGATCTCTCTCAATACACAAGTTATGTTCTGACTCATCAGCAGTTTCAACAGAATACGGAGAATGGACATCTGTTATTTCATCGAGTGTGGGTGTATTGGGAGAATCGTAAATCTGCACATTCTCTAATGTTTTACTGAAGGCCTCAGACACAACAGGTGGGGTAGAGCTCATCTTCCCACTGTCCTGATTCTCATCTTCACTTACGTCTTCATATTGCGCTACCCTCAGCACATCTGAATTATCATGATACAGAGGATCAGTTAGAATTGGAAAATTTGGTGTTCCATTTGTGTTGCTTTGTGCTGGATGGTTAGGTTTGGTTTGCTGGAACCTTTTGTCCAATACATTGGTTGAGTTCTGTTGGCGTGAACTCGTTGAGCCTGCTCTATCAGTTTCAGTTTTACCAGCTTTCCTGGACTCTTTGGTTGTACTTGACCTCGAGGCAGCTACTACTCTCCCCTCTTTGACTTCATTCCCCTTTTGCTGCTGACAAACTTCACTTTTTCCGTCTTTGTCATCTAAAGTCCTGCTGCCATCTAACCGAAACATGGAGTCTTTATCTGATGAATTGCCATCCACTGTTCGACTGGACTCCTTTATCAGTTTATCACTGATAAAGGCGTCAATGGTAGTGTTAACGACAGGATTCTGTTCATCCTTCTTCCCATGGGTGCTGGAGATTTCTGACAGGATCTGTGAGTGTTCTGTAGGTGTTCAAAGATAAAAAAAAAAAATGTAAAAAAAATGTTACCTACACACTATACAATAACTGTCAGTTGACTCTTGAAAAAACGGTACATTTTCCAGAACAATGAATAAATATTTGTGCAGTTATGTCATTTTCTAAGTTAACTTCCATCATTACTCCATAAACATATCTGGAAAGTAGTGGTGCACCAATTCATTGGCATTGATTTCCTTAATTTTGGGAGAACTATGATCAGTGAAGCAGATCTTATCCCTGATCTTATCTACCCCAAAGGTCTAAAAATCAACTACTGTTGTCTTTTGCTCTCCTGTGAGAGAGATTTGATTGACAGACCAGCTTACCAGACCATTTCTGCACATTTGCAGTTAACAATACTCACCCCACTATTGCCAATTCGGCGACTTTCTTGATACTTTAAGTGATAATTCAGACAAAAAAAAAATGGTATTGGTCTGGCCAAAATGGGAATTGGCAGGTCAGGCTTTTTAAAGTTTGGTTATCTGCCAGAAAAATTGGTGCACTCGTACTGCTAATCAACCACTGGTGACACCTTTTCCTTCTTGTAAATGACACCATCACAAAAAAAAAAAAAAAAAAAGTGAAGATCTCTACAGGTTCAAATGTGGAGAAAAAAATCCCTGCCGATGTCATATTACACATAATTCTAACTTGCTCATTGTATAAAGGAAGAATGGCATAAGCACTATATTTAATATAAACAAATATTTAGATCAGTTGTGTCTAAATTTTCTGCTTTGCAGGTCAAAAGTCAGCTAGTTGAAATGACTCTGCGGTCACAGTTTATTTTACACCCATCAAAAATATTGTGATTTTTTTCCGTTTTACCTGCTCAGGTTTATGTAATGTTTTCGGAAAAGAAAAAAAAGAAATGTTGACAAATTGTACAGCTTCATAATATTTTGGATCAAATGTTTTCTATTAGCTTAAAAAATAATTTTTTAGTAGAGTGCACCAATTGCAGTGTTTTGGGCAATCAATATCAAAAAACCTAATCTTCCAATTCTGATTTTGGCCGATGCAGATTTCTTTTGTCTGGAAAGTTGCTGAAACTTGTTAACCGTGCAGTGCTGACGTGGCCTTGCGGGCAGGTCATCAGTCTGCCACCTCTCACAGCAGAGCAATAGGGGCTCACTGGCAGATTTTCAGGTCTTTTCAGAGGTAGATAAGATCGGTTGTACATGAAAGTATTGGCTGATATCCTAAAATTAAGAAAATTGGAATTGATTTATTGATGCACCCATACTTTAGTCTATTCCCCGGAAAAATGCCATCTTTCTTCCAAAGACACCTCTGGAGGTTAAAGGTCAAATGTATAATTGGCATGTGGTTCACCAGGCTGCTCACCTTTCTTCTCGGAACTTGATTTTGTAGTTGTCCTCAAACCGTCTTCTTCAGGTGACTGACCAACTGTGAGGGAGCCCCGCTGAGAAACAGTTAGGTTAGAACTTTGCTTGTGCTCATCGTCTTTATCAGAGATGGAGGCCTGGGGGTGGCTGACTACCAAGGTGGGAGGTGACGTGCTGGTTTCAGGTTGGAGCAGAGTGTCGCATTGCTCACAGGTTCTGTTGGTGAACACACCATGTTCTCTTGCGTACCTAAATTCGGAAACCGTGGAAGCAATCCATTCACATATTTGGTCATTTGTCAGTATATTGTCTGTAAAGGCACCGACAGTGGATGGTTGACAATGAAGAGATGAATGTAAGAACATTTTCTGATAGAAGCTTTGAGAATCGTCCATAACGTTTCTTATAAAACTAAAACATTGGTGTGAAATTAATATTGGTCTGAATGGGGAGACTCCGTCACTAAATTGTTCAAGGTATCCTTTGTTGAGCCTCGACGTAGTTCTTCCTTAGAGACACTAAAACACACCAAAAACTGAAGGCCCATTCAGTTGAGTTTGTCCCTTCTTGTCCACCATACATGTAGGGACTGTTTTCTCTGGGAGTGGTCCAAATTGCAAAGTCACCCAAATGGAAATTCTGGCTCTTATCCTTATTTTAAAGAGTAAGCCTCTCCATGGTTTGAGTCAAGGAATGTAGTGCTTGCTTTGATCTTTAGTGAAATCGGTAGGTCTTTGTTTTCCTGAGATTTTCTGTTATGATTGTGCCAAGTCCAGTTGATTCTAAGTAGAAAGATGAGCTTCTGTAATCTTCAGTACATAATGACAAAATGTCATTCCTTGGTTGTAGCAGTTTGTAATTTTACAGAGGATCATGAATCATCTTTTGGCCGAAGGAACACCCACATTTCTAGGAAGCACTTGACTTGTCTAGGGAAATAAAAAGAAACAGCCAATTAAAGATTAGATGTAGAAACACAGTCCTAAATGCACAGATCTATACATTCCTAGCTTCTTGCCTGGGTTTAAAAGAGTCTTTGCCATCTACTCCAACAGTGGCTCACTGAAGCTAAACTAAGTAGTTGTCCCATCTCCAAGAATTTATCCAGTGACAATCAGTGTGACTAACAGTAAGCTACTTCACTATACAAAAACTTAATGATCCTGTTGCAAGTAATCTTTCACCAACCTGCTCTGTTGCAGTTACTTACACAAGTAACTGTGGATTACTTTTTTGTCATTTTCCTTAGTACATTTAATTCCCTCTGGAATCTTGGTAGTGATATCTGGTCTGAGACGATACAATCATGCCATCTGAGGTCATCTGGCAAGTTTGCCTACACTAATACCCAAAGAGACCTGAAAAAAGGAATACGGCTGGCAAAACTTAGGTACAGGCAGACCATTGAGGAACAGTTTATCAACAGGCACCAGTTTGCTTAGGAGGAACTGGTCCATAGAGGATGCTTTCTCTGTTGCACTACACACAGCCCTGACACATCTGCAGCATCCTGACACTTATGTTAGGATGCTGCAGATGACTTCAGTTCAACATTTAACACCGTCATCCCGGAGAAGCTGATAATGAAGCGCCACAACTGGGGATGTTCAATATCAATGTGCCGTTGGATCAGGTACTTTCTCACCTACCGGCCCCAGGTGGTGAGAATAGAAGACCGAACATCATCCACCCTGGTCCTCAATACAGGCACACCACAGGGCTTTGTGCTTAGTCCAGTTCTTTTTACTCTGTTCACCCATAACTGTGTAGCCATCCACTCCTCTAACAGGGTTCTAACATTTAGAGATGATACCACTGTGGTGGGTCTGACAAACAATGAGACAACGTACACAGCAGGGATGCTCAAGTCCAGTCCTTGAGAGCTACCGTCCTGCAACTTTTAGATGAATCCTTATTGCAATAGATCAAGATCAGCTCTGACCAGGGTAACAAGCCATTCATTTGATTAAGGTGTGTTGGAGCAGAAATGAATCTGAAAGTTGCATGATGGTAGCTCTTGAGGACTGGACTTGAGCACCTCTGCTGTACAGATAAGAGATCCAGCACCTGTCCCTGTGGTGTTCAGTGAACAACCTGGTGCTTAACATCAGCAAGATCAAAGGTGTTTACTGGAGTACAGGAGGTCCAGTAGGACAGTGCACCCACCTATTAGAACTCTAAGCGAGATGGTGGAGTGCGCAGGCAACATCAAATTTCTGGGCATTCACATCACTTCGGACCTAACCTGGTCACTGAACACCTCTTTTCTGACAAGAAAGGCCCAACAAAGACTCTTCTTCCTCAGGAAATTGAAAAGTGTTGGACTTCCTGCTTAGTTGCTCAAGAACTTCTACAGAACCATGATTAAGAGCATCCTCTGCCTCAGTATGACTGTGGTACAGCAACTGCACAATCCAGGACAAAAAGGGCTTGGCCTGGGTGATGAAAACTGCCCATTGGGTCATGGGGAGTCAGTTACCGAATCTGGACCTAATATATACTGGCAGACTGCATAGAAAGTCCAGTTGTTGCTGATCCCACCCGCCCAGAACACAAACTGGTTTTACCTCAACAACCACGTGGCTAAAGAACAGCTTCCCCTGGTCCACCCAAGAGCTGTGAAATTAATCTGTCCACTTTCCATCTTCTTTGCCCCCCTGCAAACACACCACACCCTTATGTTGCATCCTAAGGACTGATTAAGACTTTGTCTATTAAATCATCACCGAGGGTACCACTCCAATTTCATTATATTCTAGAAACATAAGGACACATAAAAATATCATGTCTTATGTTGTTGAGCTATGAGGAATTTCTCTCTAAATGCAATATTCCCATTTCGTCTGGAGAATATGCAAAAGTTTTTAGTGCCATTTCTGCAGAGACTTGCATGTTATTCAGACAGAAGCCAAGACTCGGTTATCAATCTTCCACTCTTTCTTTCATACATTTTCCTATTGGAAAAATATATCTCATCCCTCTTTTTCATAACAATAAGAACCTGATGCCTTTCCAAGAGGTGAATTCTATTCCTGCTGTTGTACCATATTAGAATCACTTTCGGGTTACTATGTCTTGGAATTTTATCTGGTTGCTCCCAAATCACTTTCTTCTCACTAACAAAGTAAAAGAGTCATTTAAACCCATACACAGAATCTACCTAAAGAAGTTCAATTCTAGCATTGCTGTAAGCTATACCTGTTGTAACCTTTGCCCAGAGTCTATCACTCATTTGTTCTGAATGTGTCCTCATTCTAAATTATTTTGGTAATATTTTTGTAACCATGTTGACTCAAAAATATCAATAGGTTTTCCGTTTTATTGGGAACATGTTTCAAGAAAGTGGCCAAAAGGAATCAGATGATTCTTTACCAATGTATTAATAGTTAAAAATATATTTCATATTAATTTATGCAAATTAAAAGATAATTTTTGAAGACAAAACCAGATTTTTCTGTTTTTGACTGAGCTTACGTAATATGTGCTTACAATAAAACCTTCAATTAACCAAAAACGACAAAATGGGCCAGTTTCCAACTTGGCATTGTGGACAATCAGTCTTAAATTACTTTCACATGAGAGTCCTTGGAACATATATCACACTTACCATAATTGTTTAAATTGTGGAAGAGTATTGTGACTGTCATTTTGTTCTCATTTTATTTTAGTTTATGCTCCGCCCGGCCAATTTTGTGATATGGGGCACCATGTTGGTTTGAGATGCTTTCTAACAGATGAACCATCAGAGTAAACGCAACAAACAGGCAGGAATCCGCTAGCTCGCCTTAACGTAAGAAATGTTTGCAGATGGAAATTCTAATATCTAACGCTGGTGAAAAAGACATCGCTATATTAATGCTGTGACGCAAACCATTTCACGAAGCTGAAGTTGGTTTCCAATTCTAGCTTCCAATAGCTAAAGGGCGATTCCACTTAATTTTTCACTACTTTCCGCATCTATAATCAGCTCTAGTTTAAAAACTACAACACCTAGACACTTCTAACCCTGGACTACATTATTCTTCTCTAATAGCAAAATATTTAAAACCATGTTTGGGATTTGTGAAACCTTTTTCTGATTTGTGAAAACTCAAAGTTC